TTCCTAGTTAGATTCCTGCTAATGCGCCTGGGAATGCAGTGGATAATGGCCCCAGTACTTGGGCTCCTGCCACCCACATGGGAGACCTGGCCTAGCCCTGACTGTTGCCGGCATTTGGGGAGTGAACCAGTGGATGGAAAGCTCTCTCTTTGTCTCTTCCTCTTTCATTTTTGTCTTTCAAATCTTTTTTTTTTAAGCCTGTGGAAGCAGTACAGTCCTCAAATTATTTATTTAACTTTCTGTATTAACACTGGCAACTGTATTTCCCCCTTTGCTACATTTGCTTCACAATTGGGTTGTTCTTTTAATGGTAGAATTTTCATTGTTGATTCATTTCAACAACCATAACAGAGAACTCCTAAAAACTTATGAAAATGTTAGAATATTTTGTGTACAATTTTAACATATAACACAAATTAAATTCTGTGTTTAAGCTAAAGCTAATGAGATTACAAGTGAATTTTAATGCTTGAAACTTTGAATCTTCTATAGCTTCTACCACTAGCCTAAAGATGGGAAATAATGGAACTGCTCCTTTATTTACTGAACCAGACAGTGATTTGAATTACTACCTCAGGGAACCGGAACAGAAGGATTGCTGTGTGTGTGTACGTATGTTTTTATATATATATATATATATATATATATATATATATATATATATATGCAGTCATGGTGGCTTTCAGAAGCTTATTGGAAGGTACAGAATTTCAAAATTGCTATTAATTAGTGGTTGGTTGTGTATGAAATTGCTTAGACAAAAATGACTTGGTGCTTACTCTTTTCTGAAACTATAGGAAAACTGACTTTTGTTATATCTCTATAAGACTTGGTACTCTGGAGCCTTACGTAGAATCTGGGGGTCAGAGGTTAGTTTTGACCACCATTTGTCTTTGTGCTGACTGCAATGGCCTGTGCCTTTGTGTATGTGGAGGGGCTACTAACGCTTGACCAGTCCGGCTTTCTCATGCGGAGTTGACCTAGTTAAGCAGAACGCTTCCTGTGCGAGGCAGGCAGGCTCTGTAAGATGGGCTGTCTCGCTGTTGCCTTTCAGTTACCACTCCCTTGCAGATTCCTGGGGGACAAGATGGTAAAGGAATTTGAGTGGGTGTTTTATTGATAAATTAAAATACATGCTATATTTATTTCTCAATTCTTAGTTGGAAAACAAGGCAGCCTTATATAACAGGAGTTTTAGAAATAGAATGTTCCAAAGTTGCTTATTTTTGGTAAAGTATAAAAACTCTAGATTGACTCCAGTTAGATTATGTGTGATCATTTGAAGACACTAACTTTAATTGGTAAACCCTCCCTGAGTGTGGATTTAAGCAGTTGTATGTGGAAAATTTCCTTTTAAATGTCTCCTTAGAAGCATATACCATGCAGAAATCCACCTCCATCGTTCTCTTTACTTCAGGAATACATGTAGTAATTCACATGTGTGTTTGCCATTAAGAAAAAGCCTTGATTAATCTCTACCTGCGACATGGCTAATTATTTTGATGAGTTTACTTTTTGTTTTTTGAAGATTTACTTATTTGAAAGAATTACTGGGTGGGGGAGAGCAAGAGTGAGTTCTTCCATCTGCCAATTTACTTTCCAGATGGCTACAACAGCCAGGGCTAGGCCAGGCTGAAGCCAAGAGCCTCTTCCGGGTCTCCCATGTGGCTGCAGGTGCCCAAGGACATGGTCCATCTTCTGCTGCGTTCCTAGGTACGTTAGCAGGGAGCTGGATCAGAAGAGGAGCAGCTGGAACTTGAACTGGCACCCATATGTGATACTAGCACTGCAGATGGAGTCCTGACCCACGCCACAGCACTGGCGCCGTAGGGGAGAGTTTTAGAAGTCAGCAACTATTAGAGAATCTGTAACGTGGATGATCAGTGTTAGGTAGATTGGTGTTAGATGGACAGACATACAGGTCCTGTGAGAGCAGGAAGGAGGGCTCCGTACCCCAGGCGAGCAGATCAGGTCAAAGAAGGTTTTCCTGGGTTGGAGGGGAGAGCATGGTTTTAAGAATGAGCGGGATTTAACCAGTGCAGAGGGTAAGAGGGCTTTCCTTGGCTGAGGGAGTTGTTTCTCTGTGGACATACGCTTCTGTGTAGGATAGTTGAAGGTGAGACATGAGGTTTGTCAGGTATTCAGGAAATACTTTGTGAGCACAAAAGACTAGACTTTGGATTTCTAAGCAGAAAAGTGACTTTGTAAGACTTAAATGATTTTGACAGCAGCCTGGAGAGCTGGCACAAGTATTGATTGGCAAGAGGGAACTTTATTTATCGTATACATGGGAAGTGGTGAAGGCCTGAATTACTAGTAGTGGAGAGAGAGACAGTGAAATTCTAGAGAGATGCCAAGATTAGAGGCAGTGGGGGCTGGCCATCGACTAGACATGAAGGCTAATGGAAAAGGAAGACTGAAGGATGCCTGCCGTTTCCTGCATGGGGTGATTGGCGATTCACCTAGGGGGTAAATGCATCAGAGGGTGTTAGATTTCGGGTGCATTGGATCTAAGTCCTGCGTAGACTGTGCATGGGTGGACTGGGTCTCCCCGAGGGAGAATGGAGCTGGAAATGCCGAGATCTGAGGACCCTTGACACACGACTGGCTGTTGAAGGCAGTTATATGAAAGATAGATGAGCCTGGCAGGAGTGCGTGGGAGAGGAGGAGAGGGCCGAGTGCACCTCTGCGAACTCTGATGAAAAGGGATGATGGGAAGATGTGAATCCTTGAAGGAGACTGAGTATTCCGAGATGAGAGGAAGACAGGAGGAGAAGCCATCCGAACTGAGGGAAGACACGGTTCCAACAGGGAACAACCTGAGTGTCAGGTCCTGCAGAGTTCAGTAATACGTGCTGAGGACCTGATGTTGGTGGCACTACTGGAAACGGCTCCCTGGAGTGGTGGACCAACCTTAGAATTCACCGGGTGGAAGATGGATCAGAAATTAAAGACAGGAAGCAGCTCATATTTAAGTCTCAAAGGCTTCTTGAGAAAGCAAGAGATAAGGCTCTGAAAGAGTGGGCTGCGGCTGGATGGGCTGTTTGAGGAGATGTTGTGTTAGCAGGAAACTTTGAGCATGCTTCTCTGCTAACATGAATGAGCCGCGAGGCTGTGGCCGAGCCAAGAGGAAAACGTGTGCTTCCTTTGAAGGCCTGGCCTGCAGCGGGGGCAGGATGCAGGTGCAGCTGAGATTGTGCGCTAGGAGGGGAGAGTCTGGGGATTGGAAGGATCGATATTTGATCAGCCTTTATCTTTACATAAGCAGGAAGGGGTTCAAAACCAGAACTGGACCATGTGCTTTTCATGGTAAAGAGTCACTGCATAGAAACTTGAATATTTGTTAAGTTTAAACCCCAGTAGAGGAAAAGTTATTACTTAACAGTATCATCAATATTTGCTTTTGTTTGAAGACTCTTGGTAGAAGATGGATTAGAAACTATACACTATTTTCATCTATCAGAGTTGCTCAAGTTAAGTTCCTGTTGGCATTTTGGAGCTCAAGGACAAGAGAACTGTTGCAACATGATTTTTTAGAGCTGATTTAGACCTCAGAGAAGTGGCTGTGTAGGCTGAAGGTCAAGAACTTGATTGATTGGGTGATTACAGTTCCTCTTAAAACAGATTAGAGATGGCAGGTTTGCCACAGGTGAGAAGCACTGTGAATTTTATTAGCATATAAAACTTGTTGGAAAATCAAAAAAGAAATCTAATATTTAAGATATTAACACACACACTTATACACACGTATGCACACACACACACACACGCCTCCGTGCATGACCTTTGCAGGAATCCCTGTTTGTGGTATTTTTGCAACCTCATGTCTAGGCTGATCTTTCTGTATCACTATACATAATACAGGCACTAGAGTAGCTATGGTTTTTATTTTTAATTTTGGCTCTGAACCTCAAGTGCCAAATGTACTTATCAGCTCACTTTTGCCACTTACTGTATTGACCTTTATATATGGGATCTTCTAGATGATTGGATATGTGATTGGGCATTTGAGTTTGGGGTCCTTGCCGTAGAAAGAGGTGGAAGGGGTAGAAAAGAAGCCGTTGGTGTTTAGGGAGAGAAAGGGGGGGCCAGGGATAAAGCAGGGAGAAGAATCTTTGGGACTTGGAGAGTGGGCATCTGTGGAGAGTAGCAAAGTGGATACTGAAATTATTTAATTTCAAAAAAAGAAAGTATGGCCGGTGCTACGCCTACTAGGCTAATCCTCCACCTGCGGCGCCGGCACCCCGGGTTCTAGTCCCGGTCGAGGCCCCGGATTCTGTCCCGGTTGCCCGTCTTCCAGGCCAGCTCTCTGCTGTGGCCCGGGAGTGCAGTGGAGGATGGCCCAAGTGCTTGGGCCCTGCACCCCATGGGAGACCAGGAGAAGCACCTGGCTCCTGGCTTCGGATCAGCACGGTGTGCCGGCCGCGGCGGCCATTGGAGAGTGAACCAATGGCAAAGGAAGACCTTTCTCTCTGTCTCTCTCTCTCACTGTCCACTCTGCCTGTCAAAAAAAAAAAAAAAAAAAATGTAAGCAAGATGCCACAAATGGAAAATTTCACACTTGACCTCCTGTGAGGGGTTGTAATTAGAACTCATGAGCGCTAAAAATATTGTGTCAGATTACCTCCAGGCTATGTGTATAAGATATTTAAAAACATAAATGAATTTCATGTTCTGACTTGATTCTCATTCTCACCATGTAATGGGATAATTGGTATTATATCCTGAAGATTCATTTACATGGTAGCAGGTGTCAGAATTTCTTTACTTTTTCAAGCTGAATGATAATCCATTCTGTGTGTAGATCACATTTTTTTTTTTTTTTATTCACTCTTCAGTGGACACCTGGATTGCTTGCACCTTTTGGCTGTTGTGAATCATGCTGTTTTGAACATGGGTTCCCTGGTGATCTGTTCAAATCTTAGCTTTCAGTTCTTTTTGAGTATTTACCCAGAAGAGAATGGCTAGATCATGTGGTAATTCTATGTTTAATTTTTTAGGAACCTCCAGAGTGTTTTCTTCAGAGGTTGTGCCCTTTTGATTTCCACCAGCAGCGCACAGGGGTTCCAGTTTCTCTGCCTAGGAGGTAGGTACTGTTTGTCTTTCAGTGTTACAGAGGGGAAAGGGGGCTCAGAGAGAGGTTAAGTGAGCTCACATGGCTGGTGTGTGTAGATCTGAATTTAAACTCATCGACCTAACTCCACAAAGTCACACGGACTGAATGCGGGCAGTATGGCCTTGGTACCCATGCTTTGAGATGGTTGCGTGTGTTTTCTCAGTATGTGTGGTGCTGTATTTGTAGACAAGCAAAGTTGATCGTGGATCAGAAATAAGAGTGCCTCAGTTTGGGCAGTGGAGTGGGTCCAGAGGCAACCTGAGTGCAGGCGGTGCTCAGTGCACGGCGGGCTTAGAGAGGGTGGGGCTGTTGCAGCAGATGGAGCTAGTTGAAGAAGACACGGCCACCACGTGTCAAGATTTATTGATTTATTTGAGAGGCAGAGAGAGAGAGAGGTCTTACATCCAGTGGTTCACTCCCCAGATGGCTGCAATAACTGGAGTGGCACTGATCCGAAGCCAGGATCCAGGAGCTTCTTCCAGGTCTCCCACGTGGGTGCAGGAGCCCAAGGGCTTGGGCCATCTTCTACTGCTTTCCCAGGCCATAGCAGACAGCTGGATAGGACTGGAGCAGCCGGGACTCAAACCAGTGCCCCTATGGGATGCTGGCACCGCAGGTGGCTTTACCCGCTACACCACAGCGCCAGCCACATAATTTGAATTTTAAGTCAGTTCTCTCTGGTTTCAAAACCTATGTCTGAAACTTTTCTCTGTTGCTGTGCAGTGTATGCATTCAAGGGGCAAGTCAGGGGTAGTGGAGAGACAAGAACTTGGTCCTGGACAGTGGGCTGTGGAGTTACTCGGTAGGGAGAGGAGGGTGGGAGCAAAAGCGGCACCTGAGGCCGACGTGCTGAAACTGGCTTGGAGCTCCCAGAGATGCCCTGGCGTGGGCACGCGGCTGAATCTGTCTATGGAGAGGCGTGGTCTCGGATGGAAGTCCATTGCATCTTATAGTTGGTGTCTGTTGGGGTTGAAGACACGCCCTGAAGATCCCCTTCAGGGCCAGCCCTGTCCTCCTCTTGTGCCTTGTTCCTTAGAAAGACACATGTGAGCCAGCAGTGGCCCTGCCCTCCCTGCAAGTGATGGTTGTTTCCGTTTGCCTCTTCCAATCTTTGTGATTATTCCTGTCCTTTTTTCCTTTCTAGATTTATTTATTCATTTATTTGAAAGAATGACAGAGAGAGGGAGAGATGCAGACAGATCTGGCCTCTTTTGGTTCATACCCCCAGTGTTTGCACAGCTGGGGCTGGGTTGGCTGAAGGCGGGAGCCTGGAACTCCATCGGGTCTCCCACGTGGGTGGTGGGGGCTCAGACACTCGGGCCAGCATCCCCTGCTTTTCCAGTTGCATTAGCAGGGAGTGCGGTGGGAAGCAGAGCAGAAGGGACTGGAACCAGTTCTGCGTCCCAGTGATTGCATTTATTGCTGCAGATGTTGCTGATTGTTCCAGATGTGAACACCAGGGCTTTTCACTCACCAAGTGCGCATCCAGCCCTGGGTGACCCTGTCATGTTCTACCTGGCTCGTGGGCTGTGTGCCTGGGCCATTCTCTGCCTCAGGGTGCTGGTAATGAAGTGAATTGTCAGGTTGAGGAGGTGGACATGACTTGGTGGCATGGCAGTCACTGACAAGCACATGCCACCTACAGTGCCTCTCTGGGGAGCCACTCTGTATGGCACCTCCCCTGGCTCCCTGCATGTCGTGGGATTCTGATGGCCCCTGCTCCCTGGGTGCATTGCATGGGCTCTTGTGACCCCTTGGCTCTTTTTCAATGAGATCAGAGGCATGAGTTTTATTTTTACATAATACATTACCTTGTAATTATAGAAGGATCGTAAGAGTACTCAGAAAGCTTAGAAATAGGGGAAAATGCTCATACTCATTTCCCTAAAGTAATGTTTTTAATTATTTTTTTCTGATATTTCTTAGTTCTCTTTTGTGTCTGTGCTTCCGTTTGTAACTACAGAAGCTGCTTAGTTACCATCTTAACAGCTGCATAATATTCTGGTGTGATGCTCCATGGGTTAGTTATTTAACCCTGTTGTTGACAGGCATCTTCCAACTTTTCACAATTACTACTGACATTACAAAATATGTCTTATAGCCGTTTCCATAGTTTGAATTAGTTTCTTATGATAGAATCCCAGATGTGGTATGCATCAAAGAATAAACGTATTTATGGCTTCTAAAACATACTGTCAGATACTTCCCAGAAGTTGAGCCAATTTACTGTGCCATCAAACAGGCATTCATGTCAAGTAGGATTAGGGATGTGGCCTCTCAGAGTAGGAGAAGAGAAAGACGTACCTTTGTGGTCTGTGTGTTGATCTAAACCTCGATAAATCTGTGTTGTCTTCATTAACAACAGTATACTAGGAGTCTGATGTCAATATGATAGTTACTTATTCATTGTTCACTGGAGCAGTGTGCTAGGCATGGAAGGAAGTAAATGATGTGTTTTCTGTGTTCATGCAGTGTGGACTTTTAGAAATGTTGACAAAGGTAAATGGACAAACTCATTCAGCCATTGTGACTGGGGTCTAGGGGCCCCTTAGTTTTTAGTAATGCCTAATGATTTGAGGTAATATTTTATTGCAAGTCAGAGGAGGCAGCTAGAACCAGCAGGGGAGGGTACTAGAAGTACCTGGGCATATGTTCCAGAAAGTGCCTGACCCTGGAAGCACAAGCCACCTCCCCTCACCTGGTGAGGACAGTCTTGGATACTGAATTTATATCGTAAAGGATTTTAAAATCACACCTGAGCTTAGTGGAGAAGGTAGGTGATAATTAGGCCATTTGTTCTAGAGTTTTGTCATTGTACTGTTCTTTAGTTATTTTCCAGTTGGATTATAAATGTTGACCACCTTAAAGTAGAGATTGTACTTTTTGTGTGTCTTCCCTAAGGAGACCAGCACACTGTATGTGTGTGTATGTGTAAGAATTATTTATTTGAAAGGCAGCATTAACAGAGAGAGATCTTCCATCTACTGGTTCACTCCTCCAAATGGCTGCAATGGCCAGAGCTGGGCTAATCTGAAGCCTGGAGCCAGAAGCTTCTTCCAGGTCTCCCACGTGAGTACAGGGGCCTAAGTACTTGGGCCATCCATCCTTCGCTGCTTTTCCAAGCCATTAGCAGGGAGCTGAATTGGAAGTGGAATAGCTGGGATGCACACTGGCACCCACGTGATATGCTGGTGTCCCAGGCAGTGGCTTTACCTGCTACACCATGGCCCTGGCCCCCATTGTGGTTTATGTTAAAACATATGTATTTATTTGAAAGGCAAAGAGACAGCAATCTCCCAAGTTCTGGTTCACTCCCCAGATGCTAGCAACAGCCAAGGCTGGGCCAACCCCAAACTTCGAAGTCTATCCAGGTTTTCCACATGGAGCCCAACCACCCAAGCCATCATTGCTACCTCTCAGGAAGCCCATCAGTAGGAAGCTGGAATTGGGAGCAGAGCCATGACTCAAACTCAGGCACTCCAGTATGAGATGGGGGTTATCTTAACTGCTTTGCCACATTCTCACCCCAAGCACATTGTTTTGTATGTGGTGTATGAATGTGATAGTCTGGTGTCTCATTGAATGAATGACTGAAAGTGGTTCTTGTGGGGAGCAATCCGGACTAGACTAAGTTACTCGAATTAGGACTTATTCTATGCATCTGCTCTCCCACAATATGGCGCTGGGAGAGAAGTAAACAGCTTCCGCACAGCTGCCTCCAGTTCAACCAATTAACTGTAGGACTTGCTCCTGATTGGAGAGCAGCGTACTCAGCCGAGTTGGGATTGGCGGAGGAGGACTATAAAGGAGGAGAGAGACGGCATGCACCAGGAACATCTATGGGGAACATCTAGCTGAAGGAACACCCGTGCAGCCCCCCAGAAAGCCGGCCGGCGGTGTGCCGTTCCCCTGCGGAAGTGGGGAATGCGGCCAGGGGGAACCGCCCTTCCACGGAGGTGGAAGGGATAGTAGCCAACCCGGGAAGAACCAGCAGCAAACCCGGGGAGGGCCGAGCAGACGAAAGAACAGCGCAGGGTCCTGTGTCGTTCCTCCACGAAGAGGGGGAGCGACAGTTCTTTATTGTCATGATCCCAGTTACTCTGGCAAAGCCCTGTAGTAATGGGGTCTTACAGTTTTGTGACACCTGTGGAACCTCCAGGACACTCCACAGGGATGAGTAAGCGGAAACCAGAGCCGAGGCACTTAGGCAGCTGTTGCTGGGAGGCCACTGAATCACTGACATAACCCCTCAGACCATCTTTTTTTTTTTTTTTTTTTTTTTAACAGGCAGAGTGGACAGTGAGAGAGAGAGACAGAGAGAAAGGTCTTCCTTTGCCGTTGGTTCACCCTCCAATGGCCGCCGCGGCCGGTGCGCTGCAGCCAGCGCACCGCACTGATCCGATGGCAGGAGCCAGGAGCCAGGTGCTTCTCCTGGTCTCCCATAGGGTGCAGGGCCCAAGCACTTGGGCCATCCTCCACTGCACTCCCGGGCCACAGCAGAGAGCTGGCCTGGAAGAGGGGCAACCGGGACTAGAACCCGGTGTGCCGGCGCCGCTAGGCGGAGGATTAGCCTAGTGAGCTGCGGCGCCGGCCCACCCCTCAGACCATCTAATGGGACTTCCTGTTGTGCAGATGAGGAGCTGAGCCCATTCAGGATGAACATCCTGCCTAGGGCACACAGGTGGTGGCTGGGAGCTCTAGACGGGGTCTGTTTTCCTGGTCCAGCCTTCTCTCCACTGTGGCACCCTGGGAGACCTGCCGTCCCTGTGTACCTTTCCCCTGGCCCACCGTGCCGGGTGCAGAGGTACATTTGCATTGTCATTGCTGTGTGCCCGTGCTTGTTCTCTCTTGCCTTTGAACAGAACTGTGTGTGGGCAATGGTGGCCTCCATCCCACAGTCACACAAGGGTCCAGAATGATACAATCTCTGAGGTTAGTATTGTGGGCCAAAAGATAGTGCAGAGTCAAAGTTTAATTCCACACTGTATCATAGCTCTGTATTATCTCTGGGTTTGAATTTAAACCTTTTTTTTATTTTAAAGGAAGACTGTCCAGTGTTAGATGAGGTATATGCTCTGAATGTGTATTTGCCATGCTGGTGATCCTAGTAAAACTCTCATTGTGACCCAGAGTAGGGATTTACAGTTGTCAAGGGGGCGCTTACGTTGAGCCTCTTGATTATTCTTGTGTGACTACAGTCTGAATGTCAGAGCTACATGGAATATGTGGCTCTTTTCCTCCTCTCCTGCCCTCACCCCTCACCCCTCACCCCCAATATGATGACGCACGTTTGGTTGTGTAGTTGAAATTCTGCAGCTGAACTGAATTAATAGTGAGGGACGTATTCATGGTGAATGTCAAGTGTAGCAACAGAAGAGACAAAGCAGGGAAGAGTTAAGTCTAGTGATTTTATTTTCAAGATTTATTTATTTGAAAGAGTTACACACACACACACACACACACACAGAGAGAGAGAGAGAGAGAGAGAGAGAGAGAAGCCAGGAGCTTCTTCTGGGTCTCCCATGCAGGTGCAGGGACCCAAGCACTTGGGCCACCTCCCAGTGCTTTCCCAGGGCACAGCAGAGAGCTGGTTCAAAAGTGGAGCAGTTGGGACTCGAACTGGTGCCTATAAGGGATGCCAGCGCTGCAGGTGGCAGCTTTACTTGCTGTGCCACAGCGCCAGTCCCTCTACTGGTTCTTTCTAGTAGCCACGTGATATCTGCCTTGAGATATGAATGATCGATGGCTGCCTGGAACCCTCATATTCTGTGGTGGCTGGAGGGCCTTTGAAATTGATGTGAACCTGGTTAGCTGACAGTAGATTTGGAATTTATGGGTGTTTATATTTTAGAGGGCTTTTCCTGTTTCTGTTAAGTTTAGGTTGGACTGTTTGTCCTTAGTATGACTGAATATCTTGCTTTACTCATCGTGCTACAGTGTGTGAGCCCCTTCTGCACTGCTAGTGTGCCCTAGGGGGTAAGCTGCCTTCTGGGAGAGCACAGGGCTGTCTGGCAAATCCCATTTGTGAACTAGTGCAGAGGACAGCTTGTTTCTGTTTTCCCACTGTCTTCTATGTAAGAACCGGTGACTTGGCTATATGGTAAAAAGAAGTTAGGAGGGCGCTGGCTCTATAATGTAGTAGGTTAAGCCTCTGCCCGAGGCACAGGTATCCCATATGGGTGCTGGTTCAAGTCCCAGCTGTGCTTCACTTCTTTTTCAAGATTAATTTTATTTATTTGAAAGACAGGTACAGAGAGAGAGGTCGAGCCAGAGAGAGGGAGAGAGAGAGGTCTTCCATCTGCTGGTTCATTCCCCAAATGGCCGCAACGGCCAGAGCTGAGCTGATCCAGAGCCAGGAGCCTCTTCCAGGTCTCCCACATGGGTGCAGGGGCCCCAGGACTTGGGCCATCTACTGCTTTCCCAGGCCATACAGAGAGGTGTTTCGAAAGTGGAGCAGCCAGGGCTTGAACTGGTGCCCACATGGTATGCCAGCGCTGCAGGCCAGAGCTTTAACCAGCTGCGCCACAGCTCCGGCCCTGTACTACTTCTAATCCAGCTGCCTGCTGATGGCCCAAGTGTTTGGGCCCCTGCACCCAAGTGGGATTGGCCCAGCTCTGGCCACTGTGGCCATCTGGGGAGTGAAGCAGCAGATGGAAGACCTCTTCTGCCTCCCCTTCTTCTACCTCTCCCCCTCCCGTCTATAACTCTGCATCTGAAATAAATAAGTAAATTTTAAAAAGGGAGTTTCACTGGCTCTCTGCTGTTGCTAAATACATTGCTGCAGTGTGCTAGAGGGCACCCTTGCTGACCTTGAAGGAATTAACATTATCTATGGCTTGTTCTCAAAAACTCACAAAATATGGGAAAATTAAAAGAAGGAAAAAAACTTACCCATGGCCCCTGTGCCTGAATGCAAGCCACTTACAGCATTTTTGTTTTCTTCTTTTTTTCTGTGTGCATAATTTTTATGTTGTATTTATACTGTTTATGAAAATTTTTACATTTTTATCTATTTTAAAAAATATTAAAGGAGTTGATTGATTATGTGTGTTCCTATCTGCTTGCTTACTCCACAGTGCCTGCAATGGCCTACATAGGAGCTGAGAAATTAATCTCCTGGGTTGGTGGTGGCAGGGACCCGGTAACCTGAATTACACTGCCTTCAAGGGTCTACACTGACAGGGAGCTGGAATCAGTTGCCGAAGCCAGGAATCAGACCCAGGTACTGCAATCTAGGACTGTAAGCGACCCAAGTAACATGTGAACTACCACATCAAACGTACAGCAATCTGTGTAACTCCTTATTCCCAGGGAGATTCCAGGCATATAAAAGATTCAAACATTAAAATAAGGAAAATAATAATTTTATCCCAAAACCTGGGTGGGTTTCTTTATAATGTTGCTTTGAGAATGGTCTTCATCATTTCAAAACATAATCTCATAGGTTGTAATGATTGAGGAGTTGGAGTATGTGAAATTTAAGAAAGCAAGCTGCGGCGCTATGGCGTAGTGGGTAAAGCCACTGCCTGCAGTGCTGGCATCCCATATGAGCCCCGGTTCAAATTCTGGCTGCTCCTCTTCTGATCCAGCTCTGTGCTATGGCCTGGGAAAGCAGCGGAAGATGGCCCAACTGTTTAGGTCCCTATGCCTGCATGGGAGACCTGGAAGAAGTTCGTGTCTCCTGACTTCAGATCTGCCCAGCTCCAGCCATTGTGGCCATTTGGAAGTGGATGGAAGACCTTTTCCTGTGTCTTTCCCTCTGTAACTCTGCCTCTCAAATAAATAAAAATCTAAAAACAAAAAAAAGTGAACCACTTGGTGAAAACTTGCTCTGCATGTGTATGAATCTCTCAACCTCTCATTTTTTTTTTAAGTTATTCCTCATCTGTACTTACCAAGGTTTGCTGATAGGTGGTAAAGAATGATTTTTGACACTGTTTGTCTTTGCAACAACCTGGGGAGAGTCAGCACATCGGTGATGTTGGTTGAGTATATCACGGCTCATTCACACAACAGTGGGATACGTAGTCTCTGAGAGTGAGGACCACCAGCATGTGCTGTCAGGATGAATTCCGGTACATGCTATAAATGGAAGGCAGTGTGTGGCACATAATGCTGGTTGTGTCAAAAATCCCAAGATGTGTACTTCGTTGATAGACTACACGGATGCTGTCAGGGTTCCCTCCACCCCTTCAGAAAAGGGCAAGGAAACTTCAGGTCACTGAGGTGCGGATTGAGGGCCCTGAGAACTGCGTGTCAGTGTGTAATCAGGCAGAAACCCAAGGGTTCTTGTCTCGTGTGGATGCCAGTGGAGACACACTGATGTGAACGCTAAGAAGAAAGGAGATATTTGGGTTGCCCAAGCCCGGAGCAAGATTTCTTCATGACTAAAATCCAGGCTGCCCAAATAGCCAGGAGTTACATGTTTTATCAGCTTATTCCTAGGGAAGTTACACATGTGTACTAAGTTTGGGGAGTTCTCGGCAGGGTTGTGTAGTGCCACTAAGTTATGTCTATTAAGCATGTTCTCTGTTGGCTTCGGGTTGGGATTGAGTGTCACAATGTCTCAGAGGTGCAGGTTGGGGTACAGTCACCACTTTCGAGCAGGCATCAAAAACGGGCCACAGCTGGGCTGGGGCATGCAGTTTCTTGACAAGAAGTGTTGGCTGCTGAACTATGTCTAGTCAGCTGCTGCTCGTCTGTCGGCAACAACACCGGGTTATTCTCATTTTGGGCTTAGTCAAGGTTAGGGCTTTTTTAGAAAAATTATTTTTAACTCAATAAGACTTATCTGAGTATGAGATAGTGGACTTTTTCTTTCTTTTGATTAGCACATGTGTATATATATGTGTGTATATATATACACACAACACTAATAAATGTTAGACATTTTTACAAAATTATATTTTTCTATTGGGGTATTAACACAGATCAACTTATTTATCTACACTTCCTTCTTTAGATACATGAAACTGTTTTTTGACCTTTGTGGTTTCATTAGCTAAGAAGGAGACCATGCAGCTATTTGTAAAAATGGGCATGAAGGGCTGGTAAGAACCAAGAACAGGGCCAGCGCTGTGGAGTAGAAGGTAAAGCTGCCGCCTGCAGTGCCAGCATCCCACATGGGCGCTGGTTCGAGACCTGGCTGTTCCACTTCCGATCTAGCTCTCTGCTATGGCCTGGGAAAGCAGTGGAAGATGACCCAAGGCCTTGGGCCCCTGCACCCGCGTGGGAGACCTGGAGGAAGCTCCTGGCTCCTGGCTCCTGGCTTCAGATCAGCACAGCTCCAGCCGTTGTGGCCAATTGGTGAGTGAACCAGCAGATGGAGGACCTCTTTCTCTCTCTCTCTGCCTCTCCTTCTCTCTTTGTGTAACTCTGACTTTCAAATAGATAAAATGAATCTTAAAAAAAAAAAACAACAACACCAGGAACAAGGGACAAGGAACTCACATTTGGATCTCTGCCTGTCAAAAATGACAGATGCTACCTGCAAGTCGCTCTGTTCCATACCTTTAATGTATTTCTGACTCATACTGAGAAACTCTTATTTATGGTGATGTCCCCATGTGAGTTTACCTGTTGCACATTTCTTTGGGGATTTAAGTGTTGCAAGTTAGTTTTGGTAACTTTACATGCATCATGGAATCTTGTGAATCTTTATAGATTTTATATAAAAAAAATTATCCACAAATCAAATGTAGACACACAAAGCTCCTTGACTTCTAATGAACTTTTTGGATGTGTTCTATGTCTGAAACTTGTAGGTAATTTAGAAAGAAGCAAATAACCTGGGACCATCTTCCGGAAGCAATTCAGATTATGAATGAAGCTGCAATCTTTCTGAATATGCCTTTAATTCAAAAGAATGGCAGTTTCATTCATTTATCCCCAGAAATTAATGTATGAAAATTTCAATAAGAATTTCTTCTGGGTTTTGTTTAGTATTAATTTATAATAAGTCTCATAGCTTACTTTTTATAGTATTTCTTGTGTTTCAGAGGCTTTTTTCATATACTCATTTACATTTCATGACAGCCCTGAGAAGTAGACTGGGAATTGTCTTTATTATCTGAAGACTTATTGTTTGATCTTTGAGGACAATATTGCTAACCTAAAAAAGATGCTAACAGTGGTGCACAATGTTAGAGTAAGACAATGGAAAGAAACAAGGGGTATCAAAGCTTCAAAGATTTAGTGTCTTTCCATAGCCGCTGGGGATGTGCTAATTGAGGATGATTTTGAAAAGCAGAGGTTATTCCCAGGATGTGCTTGAAAGTGTGGGACTCTGTTTGTGCTGCTCTCTCTTTCTTATTTTTAGATTTATTATATTTATTCGAAAGGTATAGTTAGAGGTCTTCCTTCCCCTGGTTCACTTCCCAGATGGCCGCGGCTGCCAGGGCAGGGCCAGGCCAAAGCCAAGAGCCAGGAGCTTCCTCTGGATCTGCCCAAGTGCAGGGGCCCAAGTGTTGGGCCGTCATCTGCTGCCTTCCCTGTGCATCAGCCAAGGAGCTGGATAGAAGTGGAGTAGCCAGAAGTCAAACCTGTGCCCATATGGGATGCCAGTGCCACAGGCAGCAGCTTAATCCTCTACTCTACAACGCCAGACCCTGTTCAGGTCTTTCTAAGAAGATATCTCTAATATTTTCAAGACCATGATGCCATAATACTAATTTCAAGTGGTCTAGTCTAGACTCAAATAGAAATGATTGTCCTCTTTGTGCAACTTCTGCTCTAAGTTCTGTGCTCTAGTACTGGAGACCCAGTATAGAACAAGGTCACGGTCCCTTTCCATAGATCACAGCTGGTGCTTCCTGTTGGAGATTTGTGGTCACAAACAGAACATAGCCCTGCTCCCAGAGAACCTGGTGTCTGGAGAGGGATTATCATCAGGTCGGTAGCCTGTCCTCGCATCTGTGTGCAGTAGTGTCATAGAGGGAGTGCAAAGTCTGAAACTTCTGTGATGGGGGTGTGTGTGTATTTAGAAGATGGTGGGAATGAAAAGCAAACTAACCAACAAACTACAAGCATCCACCTCTTCTCAAACATCTTCATGGTTGTTTATATGAGTAATGGTTTGTTGACAGGTCACCTGAATCTGATGCTAGAAAATCACCTGTCCTGTCTCCTCAGACCAGGATACGGAGTCCTTCGCATGGGTCCCGTATCACCTGTCTGGTGCACACATCCAGAGAGAGTGCCTTTTTTTTTTTTTTGACAGGCAGAGTGGACAGTGAGAGAGAGACAGAGAAAAAGGTCTTCCTTTTGCCGTTGGTTCACCCTCCAATGGCTGCCGCGGCCGCTGCACCGCGCTGATCCGAAGGCAGGAGCCAGGTGCTTCTCCTGGTCTCCCATGGGGTGCAGGGCCCAAGCACTTGGGCCACTGCAGTCCCGGGCCACAGCAGAGAGCTGGCCTGGAAGAGGGGCAACCGGGACAGAATCCGGCGCCCCGACCGGGACTAGAACCCAGTGTGCCGGCGCCGCAGGTGGAGGATTAGCCTCTTGAGCCGTGGCGCCGGCTGAGATTGCCATTAACACCTGGTTTCCTGGTCACTTCCCAATTTACTTTGGTTTTATCCTCTCTTCTTTAGCTCATCCAGAAAAATTACATCATAGCTAGTCTTTTTTTTTTTTTTTTTTTTAAGATTTATTTATTTTACTTGAAAGTCACAGTTACACACCGAGAGAGAAGGAGAGGCAGAGAGAGAGAGCGAGGAACAGGGGAATCTTTCATCCGCTAGTTCACTTCCACAGTTGGCTGCAGCGGCTGAAGCTGTGCTGACCTGAAGCCAGGAGCCAGGAGCTTCAGTGGTTTGCAAACTTTGTTGCATATTGGCATCACCTTGGAATTAAAAACAGTGATCCCTTGGGGCCGGCGCTGTGGTGTAGCGGGTAAAGCCGCTGCCTGAAGTGTCTGCGTCCCATGTGGGCGCTGGTTTGAATCCCAGCTGCTCCACTTCCGATCCAGCTGTCTGCTATAGCCTAGGAAAGCAGAGGAAGATGGCCAAAGGCCTTGGACCCCTGCACCCAAGTGGGAGACCTGGAAGAAGTTCCTGGCTTCAGATTGACTCAGACCCAGCCATTGTGGCCATTTGGAGAGTGAACCAGTAGATGGAAGATGAATCTCTCTCTTCCTTTGCCTCTCTGTAATTCTGCTTTTCAAGTAAATAAATAAATAAGTCTTTTAAAAGTAATCCCTGCATTTCACCTCCAGACACTGGGATT